TGTTATACTGTTGCCACACCAATGCTCATACTCTTGACTGTTATACTTTCCACACCCAGCTGCTCACACTCTTGACTGTTATACTGTTGCCACACCAATCGCATTTACTCTTTCCTCTTACTGTTGCTCCACACCCAATGCTCATAACCTTGCTCCTCTTTACTGTTGCCACACCAGTGCTCATACTCTTGTCCTCTCTACTGTTGCCCACACCCAATGCTCATACTTTTGTCCTCTGTACTGTTGCCACACCCAATGCTCATAATTTTGTCCTCTGTACTGTTGCCACACCCAATTCTCATACTTTTGTCCTCTGTACTGTTGCCACACCCAATGCTCATACTCTTGTACGTTATACTGTTGCCACACCCAATGCTCCATACCCTTGACTGTTATACTGTTGTCACACCCAATGCTTACACTCTTGACTGTTATACTGTTGCCACACCCAATGCTTATACTTTTGACTGTTATACTGTTGCCACACCAAATGCTCATACTCTACTCTGTTATACTGTTGCCACGCCCAATGCTCATACTCTGTTGTCATGTTGTCACCCACCCACGCAGGCGACATGAACTTGTGTCACACGAACGAGTACAGGGTCGGTCGGCGTTACATCGCGCTGCTCTACCTACGCAAACAACGCCTCGAACGAACGACATGGAGGTGCCAGCAACGCCCGCAACTGCTAGAGGAAGCTACGGCCGCTGTTGCGGCGTGGAACATACGAGACCTGACTGGCCCAAGGTATGCTGAAGAGGCGAAAGGGGAGAGGGGAGGCAGGAGGAGGAGGAGGCACGAAAGGGAGAGGAGACGCCCGCCACGTGCTAAGAGGAAGCTACGCGCCTGTGCGGCGTGGAAATACGGAGACATGACCTGCGCGCCGATGCGTAGTGTGAGAGGGAGGGGAGAGGGGAGGCCAGGAGGGGGAAGAGGAGAAGAGGCGGACGCCCGCCCATGCCTAGAGGAAGCTACGCGGCGCTGTGGCGTCGTGGAAATACGGAGAGACCTGACTGGCCGCGAAGGCATGTGGAGGGGGGAGAGGGGGAGGGGAGAGGGATGAAGGAGGAGGGGGGAGAGGAGGACAGGGAGACGCCCGCACTGCCTAAGAGAAGCTACAGCGCTGCTGCGGCGTGAAATCGGAGTCCTGACTGGCCGAAGGGTAGTGAGAGGGGAGGGAAGGGGGAGGCAGGAGGAGGAGGAGGGAGGGAGAGGGAGAGGAACCGCTCCCACTGCTAGAGAAGCTACGGGCGCTGCTGCGCTCGGTGGAAATCACGGAGACCTGACTGGCCCGAAGGTATGTGAGCAGGCGAAGGAGAGGGGAGGGAGAGGGAGAGGGCGGAACGCCCGCACTGCTAGAGGAAGCACGGCGGGCTGTGCGCGCGTGGAAATGACGGAGACCTGACTGTGCGCCCGAAGGTATGTGAGAGGGGAAGGGAGAGGGGGAGCGAGAGGAGAGGGGACGCCCGCACTGCTAAGAGAAGCTACGGCCCTTGTGCGGCGTGGAAATACGGACCCTGATTGCCCGAAGGTAAATGTGAGAGGAGGAGGAGGAGGGAGGAGGAGAGGGAGGGGCCCGCACTGCTAGAGGAAAGCTACGGCGCTGTGCCGGGCCGTGGAAATACGGAGACAGCTGACTGGCTCCGAACGTATGTGAGAGGGGAAGGGAGAGGGGAGGAAGAGGGAAGGGACGCCCGCACTTGCTCAGAGGAAGCTACGCCCCCTGTGGCGCGTGGAAATACGGACCCTGACTGGCCCGAAGTATGTGAGAGGGAAGGTGAGATGTGGGAGGGAGAGGGACGGAGCAGGACGCCCGCAACTGCTAGAGGAAAGCTACGGCCCTGTGCCTCGGCGGTGGAAAATACGGAACCTGACTGCCCGAAGCTGTATGTGAAAGGAGGAGGGAGGAGAGGAGGAGGAGAGGAGAGGTGGACGGCCCGCAGCTGCTAGAGAAGTACGCGCTGTCGCGTGGAAATACGGAGACCTGACTGGCCCGAAGGTAAGTGAGAGGGGAAGGGAGAGGGGAGGAGAGGGGAGGCGGACGCCCGCCACTCTAGAGGAAGCTACGCCCTGTCGGGTGGAAAATACCGGAGCCCCTGACTGGCCAAGGTATGTGAAGGCCGGAAGGAGAGGGGGAGGAAGAGGAAGAGGGGACGCCCGCACTGCTAAGGAAGCTACGGCCCTGTGCGGCGTGGAACAACGCGAGCCCTGACTGGCCGAAGTATGTAGAAGGGGAAAGGGAGAGGGTGAGCGAGAGGGAGAGGCGGACGCCGCACTTCGCAGCAGGAAGTACGGCCCTGTGCGGCGGTGGAAATACGCGAGACTGACTGGCCCAAGGTATGTGAGAGGGAGGGAGAGGGGAGGAGGAGGGGAAGAGGCGAGGAGAGACGGAGGCGAGGAGGGAGACGGGGGAGAGGAGACGCCCCCACTGCTAAGGGAAGCTTACGGCGCCATGTTGCGGCGTGGAAATACGGAGACCTGACTGGCCCGAAGGTATGTGAGAGGAGGAGGGAGGAGGGAGGAGGGAGAGGGAGAGGAGACGCCCGCACTGCTAGAGGAAGCTACGGCCCTGTGCGGCGTGGAAATACGGAGACCTGACTGGCCCGAAGGTATGTGAGAGGAGGAGGGAGGAGGGAGGAGGGAGAGGGAGAGGGGACGCCCGCACTGCTAGAGGAAGCTACGGCGCTGTGCGGCGTGGAAATACGGAGACCTGACTGGCCCGAAGGTATGTGAGAGGAGGAGGGAGGAGGAAGGGAGGGAGAGGGAGAGGGGACGCCCGCACTGCTAGAGGAAGCTACGGCGCTGTGCGGCGTGGAAATACGGAGACCTGACTGGCCCGAAGGTATGTGAGAGGGGGAGGGAGGAGGGGGGAGGGAGAGGGAGAGGGGACGCCCGCACTGCTAGAGGAAGCTACGGCCCTGTGCGGCGTGGAAATACGGAGCCCTGACTGGCCCGAAGGTATGTGAGAGGGGAAGGGAGAGGGGGAGGGAGAGGGAGAGGGGACGCCCGCACTGCTAGAGGAAGCTACGGCCCTGTGCGGCGTGGAAATACGGAGACCTGACTGGCCCGAAGGTATGTGAGAGGGGAGGGGAGAGGGGGAGGAGGATGAGGAGGAGGGGAAGGAGGAGGATGAGGAGGAGGAGGAGGGAAGATGGATGAGGGGGAGAGGGAGGGAGAGGAGACACCCGCACTGTAGATTGTAAAAGAAACTTTTCCAATATATCTGCACATCAGCCACGGGGTAGATAGCTGCGGGTAACTTTCCCTCTATGTAATATATTTATCATCTGTGAGCTGCTGCCATACATCATCATCATCATCTGTCATCATCATCATCTGTCATATTTATCATCTGCTGCCGTTTGTTTCAGACGTAGACGCGGACCTGCGTCGCTCCATCGAGGCCGTGCATTGTCCCTCCCGCCCCGCGGAAGACGAATGCATCGACGTACGCCAAAAGCAGACGCCCCCCTCCTCCTCCTCCTCCTCCTCCTCTTCCTCCTCCTCCTCCACCTACTTTTCCGCGGCCGACTCCCCGACTCTAGCCCGAGACGTGCACGCGCGAAGCTACGATGACGTCAGCGGCCACGACCGCAACAATTGGCCGATGCAGCAGCGACCCGTGCTGCCATCTGACGACGACGACGCGTACCACCGCGGAGGAGTCCGAGAGAGACCGGCGGGTGAGGGGGCGGGGAGTGGGAGGGAATTCCAGCCTCCGACGACGTCCCTAGAACGACCCCAGCGCGCAGACGTCGGCCCCGCCGCGCGCCCGCCCCCTGCCGACTACTACGACTACGACGAGTACGGAGCGCCATCTGGCGCACGGCGCGAGCGACCGGGCCTCACGAGCGGCGAGATCACAGAGAGGGCGCCCTCTGGTGGCCGCGAAGGGGCGCCGCCGCCGCGACCTCCGCTCACCACGCTGCGCGCACCGCCGCACGCCGGAACCTTCCGCCCGGCGGGCGACGCCGACAAGGGGGCGCCACCGGACTGGGTGTCGGCCGACAGGGGGCCGGCGGGAAACTGGCCGTACCGCCCTCTACCGGAAGCGCCGCCGCCACAGGGAAGACTCCCCGGGAGACCGTACAAGGAGGATACTGTCGGCGAGTTTGACTTCCCGACGGATTACGTCATCGTTGACGAATCGCAGCCGAACACGCGACACGGCGGCGACTACTCGCGGCCAATACAAAAGAGCAGCGCCGCGAGGGGGCGCGCGTGCGGCGTCGCCGTTCTCGTCGTCGTCTGCTTGGCGGCGCTGCGCTGAGACACGAAGAGAATGCTCTTGTGTTTGCTCACACTAACCTTCGCAACCACCTGAATATCAATGCGCATGCGTGCAGGGCGTTTGAGGATGAGGGGAGGAGAGGAAGAGAGGATGGGAAGAGGGGAGGAGAGGAAGGGAGGATGGGAAGAGGGAAGGAGAGGAAGGGAGGATGGGAAGAGGGGAGGAGCGGATGAGGTGATTAGGGGGAAGTTAGCGGGAAAGCTTTATAAATGCTATGACATAGAGGATAGGAAGTCGGTATATTCCTATTTCACTCCCTCTTCACCGCGGTGTGTGTGCGTGCGCGCGCGCGCGCGCGCGCGTGTGTGTGTGTGTGTGTGTGTGTGTGTGTGTGTGTGTGTGTGTGTGTG